CCAACATTTCGGGGTCGACTTGACTCCTTCTTCAGGGGTGACTAAAAATGGAATGGGACAGCGCGAGCTTCGATCTCTCCTTCTTCTACTGAGGTGATGTTTTGTGAACGTGACGTAGGCCATGGACGTAAATAGATGGTAAGGCCCCGAGGGACCTGTTAATGTTCCCCGGTGTATTATTTTAGAATACACCGGGGAACACCGGGAACACCTCGGTAGAAGAAGGAGAGATCGAAGCTCGCGCTGTCCCATTCCATTTTTAGTCACCCCTGAAGAAGGAGTCAAGTCGACCCCGAAATGTTGGGAACTGTTGTTTCTAAACTTTTGGTTTGAGTTTTCTTTTTTTCGAATTGTTCCCCAAACCAGACAGATTTCTGTCGAAGATGTTTACTTTCAAGCCATCCACAACAGTTTGTGGTGTCCTTCATCAGGCATCTTCTTGTTACGCTTCTCCACGCAACTAAACACTGGTTCTTTGTTTGACGGAATTACTTCTGCCGTGCAGTTGATGCTAACAAGGCGTTTCGCGTAGGTGAGAAGGCAAACTATTTGCAGTGGTATGAATGAAAATGAAATTGTGCGCTCATGCTCCAGAAATCCAAAATTGACTTTTGGCTGCTGCAAAATGACTCGGACCAATCGCGTCACTTGAAAGTAATAAATGCCTGTATATATATAATCTGGGAGACTCAAACATACTTCCTTCCGATTTCTCCTCAATATAAATCAAATGAAGTTGTTGTTTAAATTGAGTGCTTCAATTTACATTGCCGGTTGCATTCGACTCTGACCCCAAGAATAATTGATCGCGAAATTTTGTTTGTCCCCTGCTTGTGTTTTGCTTCCTTCGAATTGAGTATTAATTTAGCACGCTCGTCAAACTCATCATCTCTTTATCTAAGCTCTCGGAATGAGTGTACAAGGTCACTTGGTTACCGATCTATTTCGAAATTATTTTTGCGAGATAATTGTAAATCCCCCATCACACCAGCTACCAGTTGTTCTTCACGCGCACACTAAGAACGTTTACACTCCTATGGGTGTAAAAATGCTGTTCGGAACCCTTATTCCGAGGAATGCACTCTTTAATCGTGAAATATAGTTCTGTTGCATGCGGAGAGGGGCATGATTTAAAGTTTTATTTGATAAGTTTTATTTATTTGACCTAAATGAAATTAATTTGATATAAAACACTAGCTAGAAAAGCTTGATTTTGTACCACTAGTTGTGTTTTTGGCAGATCGATTGATCAATTCGTTCGATCACGGATAACAGCGCCTAAGAAATAATTACTAAAAATTTAAAGTAAAGTTTATTAACTTTTCATTCTTGTAATCCCCGCCATACCAGAGCAAAAACAGCTTGATTTTTTTTTTTTTTTTCGTTAGTTAAAAACTTCTTTTTTTTTCGAGTTCCGACTTATTTGGAGTAGGACATTGCTTTTCTTGTTTTCGTTTCTTTGCATTGTGATTTTGTTGCAGTAGGACGTAACGTGACTGACGAGCGAAGTGTAAGGTAGGAATCAAACTCAACGCTCCGATTTCCTCAAAAGAGCACTTTTTGCTCGTGTTCAGTTTTATATATTTAACTACAAAACTAATGCACATGTCATCTAACAATAAACAAAAACGGCAAATAAAAAAAGTATTTACAAAATTATTTTTTGCGGGAAATGTTTCATTTGAATCATCATAGTAAATCTGATCTGATTAAAATCGGTATTTAAATCACGATAAAAATAATTATTTAAATCATATTGATTTTTTTTTTTGTCCTCTCAGGCTGTGTGGCACATCCTTCACTGCGTGGAAAAGAGTAGTATGGGGGAGTGAAACAAACACCCTTCCTGAAGGGTGTTCGCCGCACTCGCGCGCTTGAAACAACTTTATCGGAGGTTGTTCTAACGATTGTGTCAAATACCTATGTTGCCTGTGCCAATGCTTTTTACTTGGATATACATTCCTCGTATATACTATGCAGCTTGAGGTGAACAAAGCAACATACTTGTATCCTTCTTGATTGCGATCACACGTGAATCAGTGTCTTTGAATCGTCGAGAGGGCGATGGAGCAGTCTACAGGGTCGTGGGGAATCGAATGCCGAGTGGGCTAGCGCTCGACCAGCTCGGAGCACGCGTGGAGCGAAAGCTCGCACTACAGAACCTGCAGGAATTTTGGGTTCAATCCTCAACTCTCTCCCTTTCGATCTGGATGAGCATCGTACCTCCTAAATGCACTGGATCCTGGGAAAGTAGTGGCAAGCTCCGCGTATGGTCGCCATTTTGGTTTATGAAATCGGGAATTTCTCCTTGACCTCTCCACTCTTGGTGAGCCGATCTAAATTCGCTGGTGACGGCTAGCTTTGTACAGACGTTTCTTGTACACCGAGATTTTGCTATCGGCGAAGCAAGCGTACATCTTCGTTACCGCCACCCCCATGCGGTGTCGGTGCTTGGAGGAATTGAAAAATATTTTTCTTGTCTCGAAATACGCGAGAAGAACAATATCATTGTAAGAGACCACACTTAGAAGAATGGATAGTTGGGCGAGTCGGTAGGAATTCATCGTCGGAACTGTCCCGTGTGTTTCTTCTTCGTCCTCGTCTCTTTTTCGCACTGTTTCCTACGATGCAAGAGATCAGTGGAGATTGACTGCATACACAGTGCCGAAAACGCGAGTAACACCTTCAGTACGATGATGCCTAGTGGTGATCATGGTGCGACTGGTTTAGAACGACCCTCTCGAAGTTTTGAATGGACCGAAATGGCGATTGGCAACGAAGACCGATTAGCCAATTGTCTCCCGAGGCTTTTGTCGTCTGTATGTTAGTATCTGTTTGTGTCCGGCAATGGCGCTACTTTCCCGGGATCCCATGAGTTTAGTGCAGGCGTGCGTTCGTGTGTACGTTAAAGACCCCAGGCTAGCGGTCGTACCGCACTGGCTAAATTGCTCATCTACAGCTGAGACACCAGACGCCCATTGGGGCTGACTGACTTACAGCTGTATAAACATATATCATACGAACGGCACAATTATTATTTTACGCGGTCGTGAATAGTGATTCCTCTCTCGTCTGTGTCATTCAGTGCGTCTGTATTTGCCTTTTATTGCATGGAAGAACTGCTTGTTGCTTGCAAACTTGCTCTACAGGTGTTGCTGTAATAATACCCTTAGTGTTAGCCCTGATACAAGCAGGGGTGGAACGGCTGCGCCATTTGCGCCATTTTGCGCCAGACGCATTTGTCTGCGCCATCCGGCGCCATTTTGCGGAAACTGCGCCACTGCCAATAGCTTGCGCCATTATGCGCCAAATCGCACAACGTGCGCCCCAAAAAATTGTATTTTGTCTTGGTTTCGGTTTCTATCGACTCGACTGGCAACAATGAGCACGTTTAGCTTGGTCGGCCCTGCAATCCTTTGTTCTGTTTATTCTCCCTATGCATCTCGAGTCGGAAGCGCGCCTAAAAACTCGGGGATTGGATTCCAAGCGCTACACCACCTGCATGCGACTGGATTGTTATTCTTCAACCATCAGTGATTAAGCAAGTCGGCCGAGGTGAGGTCGAGTCGTTAAGCGTCAGATTGCCTGAGGCTCTGCGGCCCGGGATCCAGAAGTCAACCAGTGGAAACAAAATGAGCAAAAGATTCCGTTTACTACTTAATCGTTATAATTTGGAACCGCATTCCCGCAAGATAAATTGTGATTTGATAGAACTGGAAACGCTGTCCGATCCGAAATTTTGCCGTCCAGCAGCTCTCACGCGAGCGGTAGATCTGCTCGGCGTACTTTAATCTTGCTCTTGTTAATCGCTTTGAATACAATAACTCTGTTAATCGTAGTCTGCTGCTTCGATATTGAGTTGCACAATAGGATAAACTCGAAATTTGTTGCCCTGTTCCTCCACGCAGCGGCACGTCCGTTGCTTACGCACGTCACGTGGTTCGCACATATAATTACTATGTCGAGCACGTGTCGGTTGTGCGATAAGCAGTGCTGGTTTGCATCTTGAGCAGCTGAAAGCCACTCAGAAAATATCAAGTACATTATCTTCAGAAACGTATGGTACTTGCGTTTTGGCTCTCATTAAGGCTCACAAAGTTCCAAGTTTTCGCATCTGTTACACTGTTATGTGTTATCCCATCTACCTAGGTTCCTAACCTCTCATGTTCATCTGTGCTGCTAAGCACTATTGAAATTGCTCCCGTGCTCGTCTAAGACACAAGCTGAAGTGCAATGAAAACTGATCTGAGCTGCTCCTAGCCTGCTCCAGAATGTAGTTTTTGCTGCTCCCAACCTGCTCCAAAACAGCGGTTTCAGCTGCTCCCGTGACTGCTCCCAAATACATTTGATGAGTTCCACCCCTGTACAAGTTGATTTACACCCTTAAGGGTGTACATTTCTGTATATACACATATCTTATAGCTTTCTGTTCAACGTTTAGGCGAGAGATAATTCCATTTCCTTGTTCTTGTCAAGAGGCGGGGGCGGCCGGTCGAAGGGAAACAAGGAGTTGAAGAAGGAGATGGTCGTAAAACCTCGCAAAGACTCTTTTAGTGAACTGATCAGCGCCATGCTTGATGAACGTCGTGTTTATTCCGAGCAATGGCTATAGTCACTGACAGTGTGAGAATGACGGGGCGTCTCGTTCGAGGGCCTCCAGCACGCGCTCGCTGCCTTCTACCGTGCTTTGGCTGTGCGTGCACGCTCGAGGTTCACGAGACGCTAAAGCGTTATCGAAGGTTGGAAGCTCGGGCTGGAGGTCGGACAACTGGAACTCCTCCCTGCTGTTCTCATTCTGTCAGTGACGTGACTTGCCCTGACGTCACATCCCTGGCCATTGTGGTATAACCTTGCCACTGAGCCCTTTGGCAGCGTACATTTCGGACCGTCGAACCTTGTCTTTCTCGACAAGAACAAATAGCTATGACCACCAGCATGATGAGATGACGTCATCGTGTAAGCCGGGAACAGGGACATTGAGCACTGCGCGTGCCTTGCAGCGTTCCTGGCCACAAAGCAGCGTCTGCACCGGGCAGGAACGCAGCAGAGATGGCGCCCTCCGGAGCGCTGCGCCGCGTCTTCGTCGCGGGCGTCGGCATGACCAAGTTCGCCAAGCCGGGCGACAAGAAGAGGGACTACCCGGTGCTGGCCAAGGAAGCCGTGATGGCGGCGCTCCAGGACAGTCGGCTGTCCTACGAGGACGTGCAGCAGGCGTGCTGCGGTTACGTGTACGGCGACTCGACGTGCGGACAGCGCTGCCTGTACGACTTGGGCATGACGGGTATCCCCGTCTACAACGTGAACAACAACTGTTCTACGGGGTCGACGGCGCTCATGCTGGCCAAGCAGCTCGTCGAGGGAGGCATCGCTGACGTCGTCCTCGCGCTGGGCTTTGAGAAGATGGACCGCGGATCGCTGACGTCCAAGTACCGAGACCGCGCCAACCCCGTGGAGAAGCATGCCAAGGTATGTATAAATATCTTTCCAGCTCTTATCAGACGGGCGAAAAATACCCGAGTCATTGGGCTCTGGGCGCTTGCGCGGCGTCAAATAATCCTTCGAAGAAAGCTACCGTGCACGCCGAGAACGCGTTTCGTAGTCAGTATAGCAGACGAGGATCAAAGGCGATCACTGGAATAGTCTAGGTGTTCTCACTGATCGCGGGCATGACCGATAGAATGCATTTATTTCCTGGCTACAGCTATACTTGTTTACACCACAAAAAAAAAAAAATGTTTTTGCGCATTGTTTATACGTTGCGCGAAGTATTTCTTAGAAGATTTCGTTGTCTGAGGAAGAAGCGTTGCTTTTGAGTTTTGAAACGTACATACGTCTTGATAAGATAACATACATATAAAATCTGAGATACACCTATACATAAATCTTAATTCTCCACACAAAATGGGAAATTAGTAACTCTCCGCGAGGTGCCGGACTTTTCTTTTTACTGCGATTCTTGAGGTGGGGAGAAAACGAGTACGGAGATAGTAATTCTTTCGTGCAACCTGAGCCGGACATTGTGATGGGGTTTGGGTCGACACATGAAGGCTCCCTAGACATACCACATCTTGGCATAGCCCACGCGCATAGTAAAGCCCGCCTGTTGTCCGAATAGTAATCAGGGTGTCTACATACCTGGGAAATCGAGAATCATCAGGGAATTTCGCGAGTCTGGAAAAGTCGGGGGAGGAGTCGGGAAATTTTTACCCCGATCGACGTCCTTCAAAATCGGGCTTTTACTTTTCTGAACGACAGCAAAAGACGCGCAAGAGCATGGTGTGACACACATTGCAGGTGCCGGCGTTCCGATGCAAATTTGTGCTCGAAAACTCTTGGGAGGAGGAGGAGGAGGAGGAGGAGGAGGAGGAGGAGGAGGAGGAGGAGGAGGAGGGGAGGGAGGAAGGAAGGAACCCGGAGATAACCCGAATCAGCACCTCTTGAAATGCGTGCGAGACTGCACGTTCGGCTTCACGGCGACAGAGCTTGTCTTTCGAGCTTGCCTACTCATTCCTCATTGAACTGCTTCTATCAAAATATGTCCATGGCCTGGTGATTGAGTTCATTTCTGCTGTTCGGGTGCGAACATCTCAGAAGTTCGAACTAAGGAAGCCGCGGAAGTGCAGGCGACGCGTATACGGAGACGAGGAGCGAAGGGCGTAAGGAGGCACAACACAGCGCTTGCAGCATGCGACGGCGGTGTGCGGCGGTGCCGTGATGCCAGCAACCGTCAAATATATACAAGGTGTTTTTTTTTTTGTTTTTTTGTTTTTTAGCTGCTCCAAATTTTCAAGAAAAGGGAAGGTGAGATAGAGTAATTTAAGCCCTGGGGAAGTGTTAATGGCCATGGCGGCCACTAGAAAAAATGTGAAATTGGGTAATTGTTTAGCTAATTAACTAAAATGTTTTAACTTTTTTTGAAAATTTGGTGCAGCTAAAAAAAATCACCCTGTATACCGGCGTTTTCGCATCAAAACTTGACACTGACTGCGCTTCAGACACGACCCGACCGCGTCGGGGAGGAAATTTCAACTAAATAATCGGGGGATTTGGAAAGGGCGTTTTGGTAGAGATTACGTAGTATTCGACCAGGGACTGGTCTAATACTACGTAATCTCTACGTAAAGGGCAAAACCATGCATGGGTTTGAGACGTCCCGGTTCCTTGAGTTGCTCTTAACTTTTGCTCTTTTAGAGCGCAGCTCTTAGGGGCCCGTTCCCGGCTTGAGCGGCGTCGCCGTCGCCGTCGGCGTAACCAAGGCCATCCCAAGGTCACGTGACCCCCAAGGTCACGTGACCCCTCCCAAGGTCATCTCAAGGTCACGTGACCCCTCCCAAGGTCATCTCAAGGTCACGTGACCCCAAGACCCCACGTGACCCTTTGAAGGTCACGTGACCCCTCTGAGGTCACGTGACCCCCGAGGTCACGTGGTCTCCTCCCCAAGGTCATGTGACCCCCAAGGTCACGTGACCCCTCCCAAGGTCATCTCAAGGTCACGTGACCCCAAGGTGACCCCCACGTGACCCCCAGGTCACGTGACCCCTCTGAGGTCGCGTGACCCCTCTGAGGTCACGTGACCCCTCTGAGGTCACGTGACCCCCCTCCCCGAAGTCACGTGACACCCCCCCCCCCCCGAGGTCACGTGACCGCCCCCCCGGAGCATATTAAAGAATGAGGGGAGGAGGAGGGGTCTACCCTCCCCTCAGTACCCTTCACTCCTCCTCCTCAAGAGCTGCGCTCCAATTCGGCGTTACAGGGATTTGTAAACGGCTTTCACTTTTTTCGTGCTTTGTATATGGGCGCTAAACTTTGCGACACCGCTCGTCCTGCACAGGTGTTGGCGGCCACACACGGCCTGGCTCCTGCGCCGATGGCGGCTCAGATGTTCGGCGCCGCGGGCATCGAGCACATGGCCAAGTACGGCACCACACCGGAGCACCTGGCCAAGATCGCGCTGAAGAACCACCGCCACTCGGTGAACAACCCCAACTCGCAGTTCCAGGAGGAACACACTTTACAGGAGATTCTCGAGTCGCCCACGGTGTTCGGGCCGCTCACCAAGCTCCAGTGCTGTCCCACGTCGGACGGCGCGGCCGCCGCATTGGTGGTCAGCGAGGACGTGGTCCGGCGTCTCAAGCTCGAGGGACAGGCCGTCGAGATCCTCAGTCTGGAGATGTCGACGGACTTGCCGTCTGCGTTCAGCGAGAATAGCTGCATCAAGATGGTCGGCTTCGACATGACCCAGAGGGCGGCCCAGGACGCCTTCCGCAAGGCCGGGCTGACCCCGGAAGACGTGCAGGTCGTGGAGCTGCACGACTGCTTCTCGGCCAACGAGCTGATCACGTACGAGGCCCTGGGACTCTGTCCCATCGGCAAGGCCGGCGAATTCGTGGACCGCGGGGACAACACGTACGGCGGGAAGTACGTGGTCAACCCCAGTGGAGGACTCATCTCCAAGGGACATCCGCTGGGAGCCACGGGATTGGCCCAGTGCGCGGAGCTGTGCTGGCAGCTGAGGGGCACGGCCGGCCCCAGGCAGGTGCCGGGTGCCAAGGTGGCGCTGCAGCACAACATCGGGCTCGGGGGTGCCGCCGTGGTGGGCTTGTACCGGCTCGGGTTCCCTAGGGCCAGTCTCTGAAGGCGCTTCTTCGGAGCTGGGCCGAGAGTAAGGAGGAAGGGGTTCATAACTGCGATCTAAAGGTGGAGTTCTTCTAGTGGTCTTTCGTGGTGGGTCGCTTTGGCCGCGCTTTTCTCTTCGACCTTTTGTGCGTGCGCGCGTGTCTGTGTGTTTGTTACGTTGACTTGAGGCTTTGCACCATCGCGCATCGGTATTTTGTTGCGTGAGTGTTTCTTCCCGCAAAGGTCACACTTTTGAGCGTAGATATCAGCGCTATTTCTGCGTTTGACACCGCCTTTGAGGCAGTATGCCTCTGAGGCAATGTTATGAATATGTGTGGTGACCAATATTTAATCCATCCTTTAATTACGAGTTTTTACGTCGACTTTGTCGCCTTTTATACTGAACTGATAGTGTAAATACTGTTATGGGAAGGAATCCTTTTTTTTTTATTGTCAAGGATGGATATTTTTAATAAAATTTTTAGCTTTGTTTATTACTGTCTTCGTAGATGGTCCCTTTGGTGCACCAGTATTCCTCTGCATACTGACTTTAAGAATAGTAATACATTGAATGTTTTCCAACCTCCAGAGAAGTTGCGACGTTACAGCAAGGCCAGCAGTCCGTGCTGCACGATTGCAGTCCTAGCCTGACGTAAGTATTCATACTTAGTGTGTTTTTTTTTGGTTTTCACATTCTTCGGTATATTATGGCCGCAGAACTTAGTAAAATCAAGCACCTCGGAGTGACCGGACTTTTCAGACCATATTATAGGTATGTGGTTTCTTTCACTTTACTAAATACCGTGCGTGGTTTCAGGCTTGCACTACCCTGTTACGGGCTTAAGCTGAGCAAGCCTATCTCCACCCCCCCCCCCCTTTTCTAAAACCTCAAGTACCAAACCAAACTTCACTCAGTATCGCCAAAATATATATATATATATATATATATATTTTTTTTTTTTTTTTTTTTTTTTTTGGAGTAGCCGGCGCCATTTTAAGGCTGCCAAATTCTCCATAGCACCATTTATTTTCTTCTTATTATATATTTCGACAAGGAAAGTATAGGTATACAGCGCGACACAGGACGGCCTGCATCTCGCGTTGAAAGCGACTGCCGACGTGACGTCCATCCACGAAGGGGGCCTTGAAGTCCGTGGGATTGGCGCCGGCATTCCCCGCCGGCGATCGGCGAAGCTTAGCGCCATTTTATCCACTTTCCGCTTAGGTTGACCTTCGCGAAGTGTATGTGTCCGCAGTTTCCTCCAACTGGCCGGTACACGCAAGCGTCGTCCGTTAACGCGTGGCGAATGTGCGCCTGTCTGCCGCGTGGACGTTCGCCGAAGCGAATCGAGCCCTGCGGCTACCCTGGTATTGTGCTCGTGGTCAATCAGGACCATGGGCGTCGAACCTCGAGGAAAGCTGACCCACCTTTCTGGGGGTCCGGAGAAAAGCTCGGCGGTCTCTTTAAACGACCCGGAGAAAGCCTCGCCTTGAATTCAATCTGTATGCAAGGTGGTCATTAGTGGTTTAGAGCAGCAGTGCAACCAACGCTATAGGCGCCTCCCACGCAAGCGGTGCACATTTCGAAGCAGGGCGCTCTGCTGCAGCCTTCGTTTCGCTGTCATGTCGACTGTTTTTGCGTGACTGTTGACATATTTTGACGTAGCCGGGATAAGGGCAATGTCCACTTTTTTAATTTTTTTATTGGCCGATCGGTGGGACCATGTAACAAAGCTACCTTTGTAAACAAAAGGCGAAATGTAAAGACTTGTCATAGCTTATGCAGTGCCATCTGCTACACGAAAATTAATTCACTATATATATCCACGAACCACTCAAGCTGCAAAACAAATTAGTGGCTGTTTAGTCTGCCGCAACATGGCGGCACTGTTACCCACTCTAGATGAGCAATTTAGTCGGTGCAATACAACCGCTAGCCTGGGGTCTTTAACGCGCACCACGCGGTAGTGATACACAACCGCACGCTGGTGCACGATGCTCATCCAGATCGAAACGGGCAGGAGTGGGGATTGAGCCCAGAATCCCATGCATGGTTTCTGCAGCGCGAGCTTTCGTTCCACGTGCTTCGCGCTGGTTTGCGCAGTTTGCGCTAAACCATCTCAACCACCGATCCTTTTTTTTTTTTTTTTTTTTTTCAACAATGTTTTACAGTTGTAAACAAAAAAAGTAATAGGAAATGGGGTATGTACATATGTAAACATGACAGCTAGCATAAAACCACACCAGAAAGGACAGCATAATCATAGCGACCCAGGAACAGATCGGTTATAGACTATCTTCAACAGATTTGTAATAAAAACATGAGCTGCCAATCCAAAAATATAGCGCACTTCGGAGGGGGAAGGGGGGGTTGCTTTAAAGTGGGCACGTTGAAACGCTATGAATAGTCTTCAAGAAGCGTGCAAATTATTTGCTACTGCACGACCTATGATTAGAGCGTCTCTCGGTTTTTCAGTTTCAATGGATTCTAAAACACCAATAGTCCGGTCCAGTTTACTGGAAAAGTAATGCCATGCAAGCTTAGAGGTCAATGTGCACCGTCATATCGACTTTTGACCTTTCTAACGTAATACCAGTATGATCCTGGTTAAGTTAGTTAATGTCTTTACGTTATGTATCCGTAGAAATTTTAGCTTGCACCAGCTTATATGTAAGTCCATATCAAAGAATGATTGCCCTTCGGCCCGAAATATTTCAGCCTTCGAACAAAAAATAAATACATGTTCCAGTGTTTCTTCTCCACCACAGAAATCTCAATTCAGTGATCAAGGCACGAAAAACCCTTTGACCTGTTACCATACTTTGACAGGAGCACTTCTGTGTGTAGCTGAAAGAAGTCTTGATGCTGTGGCAAGTGGCAACTGAGGCGGTTAAGCGTATCATTGTCGAGAGGCAAGTTTTTCAAGGATCTATATAACGGCGGAAGGGTTAGTGCTGATATGGTAGCCCAGTAGAGCTGCTTTCGTTTTGCTTTGAGCAGATAGTCCCAAGAGAATCGGTCTTGTAGTAGGCGGATTGCTTGAGCAACCTCTCTGTAAAAGAAAAGAGATCGTGAAGGCAGTGTATACGGGCAGCTGTAGACTTGCCACTGTAAAGGCCCGTTCACACGATGCATTTTTCTCGCGCAGTCGCGAAACGTAGTTTCGCGACACTAGATGCGCGAGAAAAATGCATCGTGTGAACGGGCCTTAAAAGTTGCGACGAGCCGAGGTGGTGTAACGCAGACCGTATGAATTAATATTTCCGATCTCGAAAGAATAAGAAACGATGAACGACCAGCTTGAGCGCCACATTGACAAGGTCGAGGCCTCCTTGCCCATGACAAAATGTTGTATGAGAGGGAGGGGGCCCCAGCAAAATGGAAGATTTCAGAGAGGGGGGGGGGGGGGGGGGGGGGGCCCATGTTTCTCCCCCCACCGCCCCCCCCCCCCTTTTTTTTTCTGGCTACGTGCCCCTTCTGGCTGCGTGCCTGGTGCAGACTATTCCCGGCTATAGGGTATCGTAGCCGTAGCGTCCTCCGCGGTTCATCGTAAGGGAAACGAATTAGAAAAGCCCTCTTGACCTGGTTTAAGCGTCAGGTATACGTTACGGGGGCTCCAAATAATTTACGGGCGACTCTCCTGGCCGCAGTCTTTTCAACCTCGCCGCTTGGCGGAACGTGTCCAGCAGATCTCGCCCCTAAAGCGTCTGTAGCGGGAAGTCACGAACCTTTGACCGCATCTTTGACAAGGAAGCATTTCAGAATTTTTAAATCGAAGTGTAAATCAGAAACCTCTCTTGTGTTCCGCTTTGTGCATGTAACGCTGTCCCGTTTTTTTTTTGTTTTTTTTTTTTTCGTTTTTTTAAATAATTTTTAGTTTGGCATTAAAAATCGATTAAATGAATTTAGCAAACATGACTGAAAACTGAATTTCCAAAATGTTCCAATAGATTTCTCTTAAATTCAGTCTGGCTACCTCTGTAACTATCATCACCTAGGTGTATACTGTCTGTACATGTTAATGGCTGCCTTTTGATAGCTGACGAAGGAAAATTTTGAAGACCGGCACCGATGCGGAGCCTGAACATTCCAGAGGTTAATCTGCTGCAGTGTTGTATGTCAGCGTGATGAGACTTGTTAGCTTCTGTGCGCTACACACTTGAGGGTGTCGAGGAAATTCTTAAAATGCTCGGTTTCAGCACGCCCCAGACAGCTCATGAATGTGGTGAATATTGAGAGATTTACTCGAGTAAGCGCCTCGTACAGAGTGACAGTTTCTTGACACCATTAAAACTGAAACAGAGAAAGAGAGAACAGTGCAGCGAATAACACCGCAACTTTTGTGCGTTTGCTGTTGATGAATACATACTAAATTTTAACCACCATTAGCATACAAATATTAAAACCGGTATTTCAGCCATCTAGATGGCACTAAATTAAAAAAAAAAAAGTATATTGCAAAGAAAAAAAAAGGTGAGCATTTGTATTGCTCACATTTTTTTCTTTAATTTCTTAAACAAAGAAACTGAGCCGACTGTATATCATAGGGGGGAACCCAGGGAGGTTAGAAGGCACGAGAGTGCATGACGTCAGCCTCGTAGCTCCCCTTTCTCGCGCTTTCTCACTCTCCCGCGCCAAACCAAACCTCAACTGGTGGTTGTACAGCCAATCACGAAAGAGCTTGTCGCAAGAAAACCCAGTGCATAACGTGACGACACAATAAAATTTCGCATCGTCCGCGCTCAACCAGTGTGCGTGGCGATCGGTTCTTGTTTTCGCTGGAAACTCGGTGATTTTCGACGACCATCGTTATGTTCGTGATGAACAGAAGAAGGCAGAGTTAATAGACGCTTTCAGCGCGCGCCAAATTTAGCCGCCATAGCCGACCTTCTGTTGTCTTTGCGAGATGCCGAGCCACTGAAGCGGGCGTTGACGAGTCTGTACAAGGGCCTATGCTGGAGACAAGGACACGGTAGAATCTAAAATGGCAATGACCTGTCCTGCTGTGGTAATGATGAAGTAGAGCGAGCGGAATAAGAGGAAACAAAAACTGAAGGTCGGTTATGGCGGCGCCCATCCACAGTTGCCTGAAAGCGTCTATAGTCTATTCAAATTGCAATAATAATCTATTTGCATCTCGTTAATTTTCTTAATTCCCATACATTCTTTTCTCCTGCTCAACATGGCTTTAGAAAACTGTTCCCTTCACGCGTCCCTCGATTGTTCATCTCAGGTTGACTGCATCTTTTAGGTCTCTCTAAAGCATTTGACAAGGCTTCACATAGGCTCCTTTTGTATAAACTCAGTAAACTGAACATTGACTCTCATGTTTTGACTTGGATCAACGCTTTAACTAATCGTTCTCAATTTGTTCATGTTAATGGCATTAACTCGCACCCCTCTCCTGTGACTTCTGGTGTCCCCCAAGGTTCAGTATTCGGCCCTCTTTTGTTTTTAATATATATTAATGACCTTCCTTCGCATATCTCATCCTCA